GAAAAAAAAAAGATTTATTTATTTATTTGAGAGAGAGAGTGAGAGGGAAAGAATGAGTGAGAGGGGCAGAGGGAGAGAGAATCTCCAGCAGATTCCATGCTGAGCATGGAGCCCAGTGCAGGGCTCGATCACATGACCCTGAGATCATGACTTGAGCCGAAACCCAGAGTGGGATGCTCAAGAGATTGAGCCACCCGGGAGCCCCAGTAACTTTTTAAAATTCACCAGTGGTGTTAAAGTTGAGTTTTGGAACTTTAAAAAATGTTAGAGCTTTAATCATCTTTTCTTTGTGTTATATTACAGAACAATAGCTGTAGATTTTCCTTAATGCAGGAGAAAGAATGTTTATCCACTAGGGTCACATCTTTGTAAGAAAAAAAAAGGCACCACCTAAAAACTGCATCAACACCAAATGCCCAGTCTGAGGACTCATTTACCATTTTCCACATCTAATATCAGAACCCCAGGCAATTCATTCAATATTCATTCAGCAAATATTTCTTAAACACTTCCTATTAATTATTTGCCAGCACACTGAAGATATTATATTGCATTTCTAAAACAAATGGAGACCCATTCAATAACTCTTTAATAAAGCATAGTGAAATTCATGTTGGGCAAATTCTCTCAGGACATAAAATGAGTGATAAATGGGTTCTTGCCCTCTAGAAGCTTACTTGAATGGGGAATTGTGCAAATCATGTTAAGGGACATACAAACTATCTGAATGTAGGTCTAGAGAGCTCAGAGAAAGAATCAATTAACACCGACTTAGCAGATAAAAGATGATTGCATAATGGAATTGACATCTGCAGGCCCTCAAAATGAGTAGAGATAGAAAGGGAGAAAGGAAGAAAAGGGAATTCCAGGGAGAGGAACCCACATGAGCAAAGGCCCAGAAACACAACTGCTCAGGACCAAGTGTTGAGATGTAGAAAGCAGTCTTGTGTAGCATGGGAGGGTACAAAAGGATGATGCTGGCGGGTGATGATGGTGTAAAGTGAAGAGGGAGCATGGAGGTTGGCTGGGACCATATTGTGAAGGGCATGGAGTTTGTGCACAGGTACCTTGGGGTTGTATCCTAGAGAACCATAATTCCGAAAGCACTGGGGAAGATGGCTGGAAAGGGATAGGAAAGGGGTGTAGATGTATATGCATGTGTGGGGGGAGGGCAGGCATTATGGTTCCTTTTTCGAAGTAGTGTTGGAGTAACTTCACTAACTAAATAAAGGTAATTGGAGTTTTTTACAAGAATTAACTTCCCATATTTCTTAAGTAGAATTATTCCTTAATTATCAGATACATGGTCCTCTTAAAAAAAGAAATAGAGAAAATAACTTCAGTATTTTCTTCCTAATATCAATATAATACATATTAGTTTCCAAGTAAGCATGTGATAGAAAGATTAAAAAAAAAAAAGGTGGTATAAATGAATCACAATCATGCCACCAGAAAAAGACATTGTTTGCATTTGACGCTTCAAATGTGGCTTTAATTCTACTACCTAGAACTAGACACTGAATGAGTTTTAATGATGAATAGAGTAACTTAAACAACTGGGGGCAAGCTCATTTTAAGCAGAAGTAAGTATAACAACTTTGGTCTTACTTTGCACAGTAAAACTTGCCAAGGAAGACATTTATTGTTACATTATGATAATTATAAATTGTTTATAATTATTCCAAAAATGTGCTAAGTCTTATGAAAAACACAGTTGGAAGTTGTTTTATATTTTGCAATAAACACTTGTTTAGCACTTATTTTCTGCTTTGAAGCAAAAATGAAAAAATGCAAGTAGTAAAACCGAATCATCCCTCCAATCTTCAATTATTTTCAAGTGGAAACTCAAGTGCTAAAGAATGGTAAATGTTATTCACTAGTTCAGCAACTCTTTAAGAAATACCAATAATATGTATAACACTAAAAACTGATTTATCAGTGAACAAAATATAGGTTTTGTGCCTGCACACACGGAGTTCAAAATCTTATTTAGTTTAGCAAGATATTTTTTTTCTCTCTGCCTTTCCGAATAGAAATCCCACCCATTTAAAAATCTGGCTCCATTTCCCCATTTCCATGAAGTACTCTTGTACTGTTTTGACTCCTGCAGCTTTATTCCTTCTCTGACATTCCATAATTCTCAGATATGGTGTCATTTTTATATAATTTTTGTCCTACGTCATCAGAAAATGATCTCTGTTAAATGTATCTAAGTCCTTTCTCCTCAGTAAGATTATAAAAACATTCCTTAAAGACAAAGACTTGGGATGGGTGTTAAGGGCCAAATTTTCTGAATATCTAGTAATACTGAGGAAGGAATCTAGTATATTCCTGATAAAAGCATTTGAATGTAACTGAAAAACTTATTTACTGGAAGCCTGGTTCCTGACCACGCCAAAAGAGAAGTCAATAAAATTTGTCTTAGCATGGGCACCTCACAATACTGGTGCAAATGAAGGGGATCTGGTAAGAATTTCCTAATGGACTCTCATGGCATACTCTTCTTTTCACTTGTTATCTTAAAGGTAAATTGTTCATTATTTCCTAAAATTGTCGTATAATTTAAATGTCCCTAAATGATCTAAACAACAATCCAATCAGTTTTCCATTTCAAACAATAGTTAAATTAAGTCGCCGTTACACATTAAATTTACAAAGGAGGAAAGAGGATTGCTTGATGTTACATTACCACATTTCCAACTGATTTAAAGCTGTGACAAATTAGAATACAGATAGACTATTAAAATAGGAAGTTCTGTGACTCCTATCTCTACTTTGGCATTTTGAAATAAGCTTATTGTTTTTATTTACAAATTTCTTCAGAAGCACTTTGAAAATCTATTTACATGATTTATAAGACATGTTTTGAACAGGCATCTTCACAAAGTACAGCATAGTATCCAAATTAAGTATATTGCTTAAAGGAAACAAAAGCTGTAAGGAAGCTTAAGATGAAGATTTATGTTGATACAACTATGACATGCTTGTCCTTTATTGTAAGCTTTAAAGTTTAAAATCACTGTGTTCAAGGACATTTGAATGGCTATCTTCACTATCTAATTGGTGTAATTGGTGTTGGAGATGAAATTTTTCAGAAATGGGAAAACAGCCTGGGATATTTATGCCATGTGCCAGGTTATGGTGAAGGGCATACAGTTTGAGACTGAACGAAAACAGCTATAAAGAAAATGGAAAAATTCCACGGGAAAGTTCTTATTCCATATGAAGTAGAATTTGCTCCTCAAATTATGCTCACCCAAATGTTTTTTATTTTCTGTTTTACAATGGATCCTTCTGGAGCCAATTTACTCCTATTAGAAGACATGTCTACTAATTTTTAAGGAGTAGAAAGACTTTCAAAACTGAGAAGAACATTTTCTCCTGGTGCTGTCATCATCCATCTGACAATTACAAATCCCCTCTTCCCCAGCTCCCTGGCCATATCTGGGTAAGGCCAATAGGAGAAAGCATTTAATACATTTTTTTTATACCTAAATTGCAAATTCTAATTCTAAAGTCAGGCAAAATAAATGTAACATTCCAAAAGACAATGGCAGAATGTTTTCTTTATTTTCACGGGAAATATGTGGTTGGCCACCATTATGGTAAAATCTAAGATGTCACAGGCAAGACACAAACCAGTCTTCCAAAGAACAACAGACCAACTGACATTAAGAAAGAATCACTTTAAAAGGTCAAAGAAGCTCTTTATACCCCCCCACAAAAAGGCTCTCCCTTAATGTCATCTTGTACTTTCATGTTTACCTGTTTAATAGTCCTGTCTGCTAGCCATGTGGACCAAGGGTAATTAACTACATTTCTTAAAGACAGAAACCACACCCCTTTGCTTTTTTGTAAAAGGTCTTAGCCCACTGTGGGTGCTTAACTGTATTTCATTAACAAAAGGAGTAATCTACATACAAATTTGCTGAAAAATCAACCACACAGTAGGTAACATCCCTGTTGTCTCACTGAGCCTCATTCTGATCATAGAAACAGATGTTCAAACAAACCAAAGAGCAGAGTATGGCTAATGCAATTTAGGATAGCTCATCAAGTCTCAGTTGGCTAATCTGATTTATGACATCTCACCAAGTTTCAGGGTTTATAGTAGTGTGTTACAAACAAGCGATACTATAGCAGAAAAAGCAAAACAAACAAACCTCAAGGACAACAAAAAACCGTGTTAGTGTTAGTAAGAGTTAATGCCACGAAGAGAGAATATAGTCCACTGATCATGGTCTGTTTCTCTCTCTCCTTGCTTCTAAAGGGATTCAGGAACAACCATCTTCCCCCACTGAATGTGCCACTTTGGCATGTGGATTTTGACCTAAAGACAATGGAGACCCTCCAGGCTCAAGAGAAACTTTTGCCCCTCCCATAAACACATAGAAGAATCTCAGTTGGGGGTCTTTCCCAGAACAAGGGCTATTAGCAGAAGTAAGTTTTATCTGAGTGACCCATCTGTATGGCAAGGCAAATATCTAATTACCAAACATCTGTTCTTCTTATGGCCCTGTGAAGTGGACTCCTTTCCTCTGAAGTCCCAGACCCCTGCCCACTTCTTAGCTCAGGATGACATATATACCTTATTTTGCCTGTCTATGTGGATTCCCTATACATATGCTAGTAAATTTGATTTTCTCCTGTTACTCTGTCTCGTGTCAATTTGATTCTTAGTCCACCTTAATTCTTTTTATAGTACCCATTGCTGACCAAAGTGTGTACCAGATAAGAACATAAATAATAAAGCTGATGCCAGGTTGTTGTTTTTTTTTAATTCATATTTCAAACAGGATTTTCTAACTGATGTTTTCCTTGGAAGATTAAGAGTAGCAAAGACTCATGCTCTTTGGACATGGAGCACCCATTTTTCAGGACAGGTAAGTTTAAAAAAAAAGCCTTGTTGGTGGAGACTGGTTAATACAGGTGATCAGAAATGTGGGTACATAGTCACAAAGAAACAAATTGGAACATTGTAAGTTGGCATTCTCACTGACCTTCAGGTTGGTATTGTGCTATAATGGTCACCGTCTGTCCAGCCCCCTTCAGTGCAGCGGCAGCCTGTTCATGAGATGCTCCACGGAGGTCAATGCCATTCACCTGGAAGAGGAAGCCAGAGAATTTTGGCATTTCATAAGGCAGATTATTCTGATAGAAGAAAAATGTTTCTCCAAACTGAGAAGCTAAGATTATGTCCCCTGCTTCAAAACCCCTCCCATCCTCCCAAGGCATTTGAGTGTTACTTAGCAAGTCTCAGGCTCATGACAACTTATAGTTAGCGAAGACATGGAATTTCATCTTGTGGCGTTTATAGCATATCTGACTGGGTTGAAACTTTGTCTATGCATGTCTACCAGAATTTTAGTGTGCGCATTTAATATGCCTCTGTGAGTTTCCTAGATTTCTGGGGGTGGTCATGAGCCTTCAAAATTAGAGGAAAAACGGGATAGTAAGGACAGACACATGTAACGTACACAGACGAGTGTGTGCTGACAGATTAATGTATTCAGACGAGGTTCGGGGTAGACTGTGTGAAATGCGGCTGGCTACCTGCCAAATCCCTCCTTTTGGTCGTATGCCTGGTCCTGTCATCTGAGCTTGGTTGGACAGCCCTGAGCCTTGTTCCAAAATAAACTTGACTGCCCCATTTCTCATGTACAATTCCAGAATGAATTCTGACAAAATGAAGCAAAGAATGCCTGGAGTTTATGTTGCTGTTGCTAACTCCCATTTTGGGGCCGATGCCAAAAGAGGAACAGAACATCTAAAAAACAAGCACAAAACTCTGCCGAAAGGGAAAAATCATTCTGACATCAAATTTAATGAGAAGCAAAAGCTAAAATCTTTCTCAAATCAATTCAGTCTAAGTCAACATAATATAATTACTGAGTGCTTTCCAACGTCAGGGCTCTGTTTCTGCCTCAGGAGAGGGACCAGGGGCGGAGAACAAAGGTGAACAAGGCAGGCCCCTAAGCAGCTTTTCTGCTTTGACTGAACACACAGTAAATCCAGTTTTCCAACCTACAAAGAGCTAGTTTTTTGCAGCTGATGCCACAGTTTGGCTTCCTTTTATTTACAGAGAAGCTGGCTATCGTCCATGAAAAGTAATAATAAAAAAACCCTGACCAGTTGCATGTAAAATATAAAATCTTATTTTGCCTCTCATCTCTTTGACAATGACACTGGGTGGTGGATGGTGAGTTGCCTCTGTTTCCCTGTCGAGGCTGAAATATCTGTATTCTTTAATTCTACACCCTAGTCCTCTCATAATAGCTTCGTGAGAGTCTCCTTATCCACTTTTATAATTGTCCATGCCTCTTCCCTGCTTTCTATTTTGGTGAGCTCCTTACTGAGAGCATGGATGACATGGTAACACTGAGAAGTCCAGGCAGCTGGGTGTGGCCTGACTGTGCCACTCACCAGCTGAGCCACTACCCTTTCACCTCCCAAGACTCAATACTCTTCTGCCTCGGAGGGAAGCGATTGTGAGACTCCTTGAGTCTAAAGCCCCTTTGAACTATAGAATTCTGGATTTACTTGTTAGGAGACGACAGTCATTTCAGACTGTCTAGTTACAGATGAGTCAGAATAGGACTCAGACAGCCGGAAGAGACAGGAAAAGTAAGAAGATATAGGCTTTTGCCTATAGGAAGCTGAATGAAGAAACTTCGTGAGCCAAATAATCTCTTGTCAAACAATTAGGGTTAACTTCTTATTAAAAAATAATATATGATTGTGGTAAATGAATTCTAATGTTTCAGAAAGGTATCTGAGGAAAGTAAAAAAATCCCCTCAACCATCTTCCCTCCCAGAGGTAACCAATGTTAGCAGTTTTTTGTGTATACTTTTTAGAAATCTACTATATGCGTATGCATGCACCCAACTTTATCTCTATTTCTGTTTCTTTCTTTACATATTTTAATATATCATCACACTTTTAGTTAAGTGAGTAGGATCATATCATATATATAATTTTATAACCTGCTTCTGTTTTGCTTTTCATTTAACAATATATCTTGGACAACTTCCATATCAGCTCATACCATTTTACCTTCTTAACAAGAGCCCAGTAATCCACAGTATGGATGGACCAGCATTTTTTTCAAAAGGATCCCCACCATTGTAAGTTGTAAGGTTGTGTCCAGATTTTTGCTACTATGAACACTTATGAAGGTGTTTCTGAAGGGTAAATTCCCCGGAAAGATACTTTCTAAGTCATAGGGTACAGGCATTATTTGTTTCTTTTAATTTTTTCTTGCATGTTTTTAACATGATTATGTATTCACTTAGCAAACAGAAACCAATAAAGGAAAAAGCAAAAAAAAAAAAAAAAAAAGGCCAGAATCTCCTTGCCCAAATAATGTGTGGATATAAAAAAATAAAACTAATATATGTACATAATGCACATACATAGAATTAAAGCAACACAAAAGGCATAAAAATAAAATGGTCCCCCTAACTCTATTATTCTAAGCATAACCACTTTGATAGCTTTTTGTATATACTACCGATTATTTTTGTTATGAATATAAGGAGGTTTATCAAGTTATAATTTTAAAATTTTATACAAGTGAGATATTTTGCATGTAGTTTTATACCTTTATTTTTCCCACTTACTAATATATCTTAAAGAACTTTCTTCATTCACATATTCCTATACATTGTCCTATTCTTTTGATAGCTGTGAAGTGTTTTATTATTTATTATTTATTTATTTTACCAGTGCAGGGTTGATGGACCCTTAGGTTGTTTCAGTATTTTGCTATTATAAACAATGCTACAGTAAATACCACGTAACAACAACTTGTCGAATAAAGGGTGTGAGTGTTAAATTTTGATGCTATTGTCAAGCTGTCTCCAAAAATTTATACTCCCACACACAAACTCTGACGGACTTTCCTCACGGTCTTGTAGAAATTGCATATACTCCAACATTTAACCTTTGCCATTCTGATATGTAGACAATTTTATTTTTAAATTTTGCCTTTCTACAATTATGAAGTTAAGCATCTTTTTATGTTTGCTGGTTACTCGTGTTTCTTTTTGCATAAAATGGCAGTTTGCTTATTTTACCTATTTTCTACTTATATAGTTTGTTCTTTTTTTTTTAAAAAAAGATTTACTTATTTATGAGAGAGAGAAAGAGAGACAGAGTGTGTGGGGAAGAGGGGTAGAGGGACAGAGAGACAGAGCCCCAAACTGACTCCTTGCTGAGTGCGAAGCCCAGTGTGGGGCTCGATCCCACAACTGTGAGATCATGACCCGAGGAGACTGCTATGAAGTACTAAATGCCTTAAGAACTTGTTCAACCAACACTTAAACATTAGAACATAGGAGAAGGGACCTGCCCAGAGTCATACCAGAGTTAGCACAGCCCCGGGTTTCTCTTGTCCAGCCTAGGCTTCTTCCCTCTGTAGCAGATGTACCCCACTCTGGGTGAGTGTTCATTTTCCACTGGGCCAGTAATAACCAAATCTGGCTGTTATCCTGAACTATACCACACTGCCCAGGTACCTGTTGATTTTCCTCCAGGTTTTGGCAAACATGCTCTCCTCCAGTCAAATTTTTCAAGGTCACTTTGACTCTTATTTCCCTCTCTGAGGTTTTGAGATTTTATCAGTAATCTTTGCTCAAATAACATTTTTAGGTGTATTTAAAAACAGTTTACATCATTGATATGACATTGTATTTTATTTTTTTTAAAAGCAACTTTTTTAAAGATGTATTTATTTATTTGAGAGAGCACATGAGTGGAGGGAAGGGCAGAGGGAGAGGGAGAAAGAGACTCTCAAGCAGAGTCCCTGGTGAGCACAGAGCCTGATGGGGGGCCTAATCCCATAACTCTGAGATCATGACCTGAGCAGAAATCAAGAGTCGAATGCTTAACTGACTGAGGCACCCAGACACCCCAGAGAGGGAGAGAGTCTTAAGCAGACTCCATGCTGACCATGGAGCCTGATGTGGGGCTCAGTCCCATGACCCTGAGATCACGACCTGAGCCAAAACCAAGAGTTGGACACTTAACTGACTGTGCCACCCAGGTGCCCCTGATGACATTTTAAAATACCAAGTGTGACAGAGCCTCATATATTTATTATTTCTATTTTTCTACTTCAGCTTGAATTTTCTCCTCTTTAAGCATGAACTGGGAAATTGGAGGTCACTATTCTTTTTTTTCTTTAAATTTTTTAATTGTTATGTTAATCATCATGCATTACATCATTAGTTTTTGATGTAGTGTTCCATGATTCATTGTTTAACACCCAGTGCTCCACGCAGAATGGAGGTCACTATTCTTCAGTTTGATAATTATAACCAGTTAACATTCATTGAGCCTCAAGCATGTTCATATACTTATTATACATATTATATATTAGAGAATTATTATACTTATAATATATACTTATTATATTATTATACTTAGATATTTACACATTATCTTGTAATCCTTAGGAGGCTAGGATTATTTTTCTGATTTTATGAATAAGAAAATTGAGTTCAGAAAAGAATCACTGACCTGCTCAAAGTTAAACAGTTGGAAGAGGTTCAGGATTTAAACAGTCGAATTAAAACTCCTGAGCTCTTAATTCCAATTCCTACTGCTTTTCCTTTAATATGTTATTCAATTCTGAGTCTATGCTTCTAAGATTCCAGTTCTGAAGCTTGCCTCTCAAGCTCCCTGAGACTGACAGAACACAGTTGGGTGTGGCACCCTGGTCAGCTCTACCATGGCCCCAAGCAACCTGGTTTAAACATCATGACCCAGTTTATAATGATTAGATCACACCAGGCTGAAGCAAAAGGCTTTGGGCAGGCTAGAAAAATTCCATCTAGTGCTGTTTATGTATACAACTGTCACTGGATCATAGGAAAAAACTAAATTCTACTTGTTATGACATCCTTTTCACAACCATGTTGGTAATCAATAGAAATTTTAGCACTTCTAGTTGATTCAAGTAGTTGTAGGTTTTATTCAGATGCTAATGTGAAGGTGAATAGTGCGCCATGTCCAGAGTCAACACTTTATCTATTTTTTTTTTAAAGATTTTATTTATTTGACAGAGAGAGACACAGTGAGAGAGGGAACACAAGCAGGGGGA